TCTCAAACACATTGTAAGTCCATCTTAAATCTGAATCAGGTTGAACGTACAATTCTAACTGTTATGATAGGTGTAAATGTGGGAAACCACAAAGCCGAGGTGTTAGCCAATGATAATGCGTAAGCTTCGGCAATGATTGAATAAAATCGTATTATCCAAATAACACCTCGGCTTTGTGGTTTCCCACATTTACACCTATCATAACTTAACTGGTGTTACAGTGATTTTCATCACTATGTTCAAATACTTCTAATTGTGCTCAGCAAGTCTATTTTCATTTAAATTTCAGGCCAACCATCAACGGGCGAAAGCTAACTCTCAATTTGAAAGGCCTAGAAATTATGAATGACGATCCAAGCGAAGTCAACGTACTTTACGCCAAAGTCAAGAGCAATGATGATGATCTTCTGCAAACAGTCGTTGATGGTATCGTTAGCTACTTTGAGGATTACGGTAGGCACTGAAATTTTTTACCTTTCCCTTCACCTTCTTCACCTTTTTTTTTTTTTAGAATTCCATAAAAACTATGAAGAATTGAAGTAGGCTACATTTTGTAATCAGGAACTACTTTTTTTGGCTTATTCATAAAATCACCTACCTGCATAAGGAAACTAATGGCACACGTCTTGTTCCTAAAATTGTCCAGAAATAATATTTCCTTATGGCAATATGAAGTCCAAATAATACTCATGATCCAAAGAATTTTGAGAGACAAAAAAACATCAACTTTGTGCAAAGGAGACTGCATATGAAACAAATGAATTTAATGCTGGCCAAATTTGTTATTTGATATCGATGGCTAAGTGCAAAACCATCTATCTCCATTGCGCTATTTCAAAATTTCTGCTCCTTTTTTATTTTTGCAAAGAGCGACACATCGAATTAATGACTTGAAATTTATACAGAGTATCCTGTTAACAGAGAAGAAAAATCAAAAAAGCTTACAAGAAATGACGTTGATTAGTTTCCCAAAGAAATATAATGTACGACAGGAAGTCTGCAATGTCCCAAATAGGAAAACATAGTTACGCACTTTGGCCATCGATATGAAGTTCTTCACAGCCTCCTGAGCCTATTGAGCCTTAGAAATGAATCTTGCAAATCTCTAGAGATCCAAGGCTGAATCGATAATTTGCCAGCATTTTTGTGTGTATTTCTTCATAGACATATGACATTACTGCCGTCAGATCTAGAAAAGAGCTTAAGTTTACAAGATAATCTTGTGTAAAATCTTGTAAAAAACCCAAAAATTTCCTTTAAGTTCAAAAAATCATTTCTCAAGGAAGATAAATCTGATTAAAATCCGACCAATCCAAAGCCGACAGTGGAGTTAACGTATAGCAAGGCAATGCGTGCCGCTGAGTTCAGCCAACCAGCAAACGCCGCTTCCCCCGCCTGAATAAGTCATCAGAGCCGGTCAAAAATTTTGTTTCGAACGGTTCTCATTTTTAGAATTTTCAAAAAGCAGTCCATTTCTCATTTAGGATTAAAATAAATCTGAAAAAATTCCTAGAAGCTTAGTTCACTCAATCTTTTAAGGAAATGAATTGAGAAATGAGTGCCTCTGATCTATTATCATTATGTTGAATTTTATTTCCTTGCAATCTAAAGAAGAATTCCTAATTTCTAGGACTCTTGAGTAAACAGTATGAAAAAGTGAAATTGCATGCTACCCTGATGAATACTGCCTTTGACAAAAGAAGTGAGGCCGAGGTTGATCCTGACTCAAAGAAAAGGAAAACTTTTGATGCAACAAAAATTTTGAGAGTAAGTACAACTGATAACTGATAATACGGAATTCTCATAGGAAAATTTCATAGCTTTATAAGTGGGAACTTAGTGCGTAGAGGTTGAAATAATTTTTACGATTTTTTTCTGTCGTAGATAATTTCAAGATGCTAATTTAAAAATGAGAAACGCATTTTTCAGATTGCAACATTGCAAGTCTCCACTCATGCTTTATTTCTTAAAAGAAAATTGACCATAAGTTTTTATCAAAACTTTCTTCCTCGTTCAAAAAATATCATGCAACATTGCAAAGATATATTTCATTAGTTTTCCTCTGAGAAAATGAAACATAACTTGAGATATTTAAATATTGTGATTGAGATAAGCATTTTTTCGCATTTAGCCATCAATATTACACAACTATTGGCAGATTATTACAGCTGTTTCTCAAAACCTCCAATACTAAGAGGCTTTTTTCATGTAAAAGATCTAATTTGACTATCGAGTTTTTAAAAAATCCTGGATAAATGAGGTCAAAATTCCTAACATTTGTACATTGTGGTAAATTCAGTGAGAAGTGGTCTTTAATCTGCTGAATTAGGCAATAGGAATAATGTATACTGCAGTTTAATGTTTATTTTCTCATGAAGTGCAAAAATTGATAGTTTCTAATTTGGATGGTTTTCAACTTTTTTTCAAGGATTTACAAGATTTTGAGTTTGGCTCCACAACGTTTGAAGGATTGGACTTGTCTGTACGATTTTCTACTGGGACCGATGGCTATTACACATATTCGACTCGTGTCAACTTTATGTCCTGTACAGCTTAAGTGGGCTGTCTCATGAGACTCTTTTAAGATCATCACCCCACATGAAGACACCAGGAAACTCAATGTTTAGCTTTCATTACGATTGGTCAGTTAAGCTTGGGAGGATTTTGCCCGCAAATTAGTTGTTTTTCATAGTTTTTGCTACAAGAAAAACGATGAGTGTATCAGCTAGCCTAAATTTTTGGTTTTTTGATTGAATTTTTCTCCCAGTTGCCGTTATCAAATAAAGTCGGGGAAGAAAACCATAAGCCTAGTTCATTTATACTGATCCAATTTCCTGGACAGCACCAGGATGTCATGTTGTTTAAGGTAGAAAGACCAGCTCCAGTAAGAGTTTGGTGAGCCTCTTTTTCAGCACAGAATTCACTCATTATGGCCAAAACAGATAATAATTTCAGGGGAAGTGTAGAGAAAAGAAATATTAATTTCCTTTTTCATCCATATAATCGTTTATTCAAAAAGTATATACATTTACTATTTAAGTTACATCACAGTTATAAGATTTTCTCGACAATGTAAGAGCTCTACAGTTAAAAAATTAATAAATAGTAAGGCAATTAAAACTAAAGGTAACACCTGTGCAGGTTGGAAAATAGACGGATTTTGCAGAAATTTACGTTTCGAGTTTTGTTGATTTACTTTGCTTATTCTTCCGTACCATTTTTGTGGGGGAAAAAAATATCTTGTAACTGACTATTATATTAAAAAATGTTGAGTCGTTTGTTTCTTGGAATGTTTCACTGCAATTGTAACAAAATATAAATTTTATTAGCAGTTAAGTCATTGAGAGGATGTGAAAAGATAAAAACTTGATCATGTGGTAAAATTAATCAGGTACTTACATGTAACTTACCTAGGATGGTTAACTTCATGCACTTACTTAATAAAGAGTGAAATGAACAGATGATGTATTTGAAACTTAATTTACATAAGCTCCTCGCCAAACTCAGGATTTTTTTGTGAAGAACGATGATATTGATTTGGATCCTTTAGCGGCTACAGCTCGCGCCTTATCCTTGGAACTAATCGTCTGCTTTGGTGTTGGAGGTGGCTGGAACACATAAATAGTATGCAATTTTTTAATTACAGTCTCAATTGACATTATTACTTACATCCACTTAAAGTTATCAACTGAGATCGAAATTTTGATGAGTTTTTAGCAGAAAAAGCATCTTTAATTCCGTTTTTTACCAATAAAAAGAAGTTAACTCAAATCAGTTGAACTAATAACTTTAACTAATAATAATACCTTAAATACATAAAAAAGTTTGCGCAGCAGCAAGAGTAAGAAATGAAGCCTTTATCAAAGTACTTTCTAACATGCTTCAAGACCTTTCTCGTAGTTTTTCGTTTCCTAAAGGCACTGTTTCCAACTAGTATCACCGTTCAATTTTAATGATAAGAATTTTACCTGGGTTTTTTTATTTTTTTGTTTCAAGCTTATTGACATGGTAAGCTTTGAATAGTTGCGCATTGCTGAGATGCGGCACACAAGCGATAAAATATTTATTATCAAAACAAGATATCAATATTTTCCCTTATGATTTGTGAGTATACTGAATTAAATCTCAGTAAAGCTCAAGCGAAAAACTTTCCCAAAAAAATGTGTATTTGTCAAAATAAATATGCCAACATCTAAATACTCTTATTTTTTCCCCCTTCGCAAGACAGTATACTACATCAACCTATTGGACACTCAAGTTTTATTGACCTACAAAACTGATTCAGTAAGACCACAATTATATCAACTGAGCAATCCTTCTAATGGTATCTAATTTTACTCATCAAATGACTCACCTTTTCTTCATTCATGGAATCAGAGTTCGATGAAGTTACTGAGTCTGCAAAGTATTCAGACTCAACTTTTTCCAACTTGGGTTTCTTATTTTCTTTAACATCAGACTGCGGTTTCTTCCGTTTGAGATCTGTTTCTGCAGGTATTCCAAGAGCAGTTGACAGTTTCTTACTCAGTTCTTCAGGGAGATATTCGGAGATAATTCCATGGGCATACTTCAGGTAGTTCTCTGGAAAAATAAACAACTTCTGTCGGAGGTAAAGGAATAATTTAGTTCCATCAAGATCTTGATGAAAAGTTAAATTAAAAGAAAGTTTTCACATTGAAAGCAAAAAGTAAAATTAGTTTTATGACAAATAATCATCAGTAACAATTTACTGGTCCCCTTCTCTTCTGGCGTTTGTCTCTAGTTAGAATTAATGTTCCTAAATTAAATCATTCTTCAACTAACATGAAAATGTGCATTATAATACTGCTTCGGTCCGAAGTAAATATCCTTTTTGTTTATTGAAAACCTAACTCACTTTTTTTACATTTTTTCTTTACTTGGTATTTTAGTACATATCGACGGTGAAACTACCAAACCACGTATCTCGGTTTGCGACGTCGCAGACTTCCTGTCATCCTTTATTTTTTAAATGAAAAACTACTTAACGTCCAGTCTTGAAAATTTCTGTGATTTTTCCTCTTCGTGCGGAGAAAAATCTGTGAAAATTGTAAGGAATGATATTGATTTGATCTCCTTCAAAAAAATAAAATAAGAGTGGAGATTTTTAAACACCGCAAACGAGATACGTGGTCTGGTAGTTTCACCGTCGATATATTATTTGATAAGTAAAGAAGTTGATTGAAGGGGCTAGGGGTCGCAGAGCGCCAAGGAGCGCTATAAAAGCGACTTTATAAATACAAGAAGTTGATAAATTTTATGACTTAGGGCCTGTTCAAGGTTGTGTCTGTTCCAATAGCTGTGCAATTGTTCATTCCAAAATCAGCTTGTTTCAGCAACGATTTTAGATCGAGGTGATGTCACTCAATTTGTGTAAATTTTACAGAGCAGGATTTTTAATCGAGCGAGTCAACTAAAACTCTATCAGTAGAGAGGGCTTACCAGGCGTATCTTCTTTTGACTTGACAAATGTATTAGACACAGCCATTGGTCCAACATGAGTTCGCTTGAGTTTCAACACATCTGCTACTCTCATGGTTTTCGCTTTCAGCCATGAGAGGAGTTTCTCTTCATTCAGCATCCAAGCATTCACAGACTCTGGACCTGAGAACAAGGAGAAATTACTTTGTGAAACTGGCAGTTAGTTCCATTAAGTTGGATGTAACATTAAACAAGACGGATTCTGAAGTTGATTCATTTGTAAAGTTTAATCTCGGTTACCTATTAACTTCTTCGTAAACTTACAGACAGTGTATGAGACACAAGGAAGAGAGAAGAGAGAAATTTAATTATAAGCAAATGAAGGTATGATTACCAAGAAGTAAACTTATTTCTTTTAAATCGTATTCAACAGAGGGGATCCAATGCAATTACAGAGCTGTAAAAGCGTGCATCTTTATCTATATCTAAAGAATGCCAGCAAAGCAAATATTTGTTGTGTTTAAATATACTAAAAAATTGCTAATTTTAAAGGAAAACCATTATATGAACTTCAGTGCAGTATAAATTTTTAGTATCTTTTAAAACTAACGAAAGGAGTTGCACAGTTTTGAAAACCTGGTAAACTTTTGGTTCCTGTCTGCTAAATGCTATCCATTCATTCTTCACTAAGTACTGTAAAGCTTTTCATACTTAGCTTACATCACTGAGAAATATTCTGATTTCTATTTTTTACGTTGACCAAGTCTCACCAGAAAATGTATTATTACCTTTCATGTCAGCAATCTGACTTAGGGATGCAGGTTTTAGAACATCCAACAATCTTTGGGTTTGCGGAAACTCATCATCTGTCAATATTTGATCTAAGGGCATACATCGTCCAACCTGAAAGAAAGAAAAAATTCCATACATTTAATATTTAATTATATTTATTTTTTTATTTACATTTTATTTTATTTTACTTATTTACTTCAATATTCAATATAGAACTGGATTCTCCCTAATAACAATTTAGCTGAACGAATATACTTGACTTCATTCACTTTTGTTGGCTAACAATAGCTGGCGATATTTATTAATTTTCTACATACCTTCACAAAATAAGATAAAGCTAGGAACAATGGGTCAATGGGTGTTGTGACAAACAAATCTCCATCTGATTTAACGGTTTCATCAATGAACCAGGATCTGAAAAAAAGAGAAAACAATTTGAAAGGACCCGGATGAAAAGTTCTGCTTAAATAATAGCTTAAGTGAAGTTAAACAGGTAAGCTGTGTTTAATTCACTGATGAATATTTGATCAATAATGTGTTCTAGAAAATTTCTCAATTGAGGTCAACAGACCACTATAAAAGGTATGAATTTAAGCATGATAACATACGTTTCCTCATAAGAGAAAACTACTGAATGAGCTGAGCATGAAAATATCATTTGTTTCTGAAATGAGCAACTATTGGAGAAGTTATAACCAAATGAACTAATCTGATAAAATACATGCGATTAAAAAGGAACTGCTGCCTAATGACGTCACAAGGCGGCAGATTTTCCCATTCTGTAAACTTAATTTTCTATAATTTCCCATATCAGGAAAAAATTATGAAGAATACTGTGACCATCTCATTCATCACTCTCAGATTCAGTGATAGCGTGTTACATGCAAATTTTCTGTTATGGTATGAAAATCAGAAAAAAGCAGATATTCTCGCCTATTTTTACTTATTTTCCAAAAATGAATTTAAAAAATTATGCAACAGGTACATTGATGTTCCATGCTTTCTAACAAAAAGTAAGTACCTGGCTGCAAGGATGGCCCTTAAAATTTACACTAAAGTAAGAAGGGTAGCCGTACAGTCAGCCATCCATGGCAAGAACTTGCAAATTTTTTTTATATCTGTTTTTTTTTCTCCTTTAAAAAATTTAATAATTCCCGGGAAGTCAGCAAACATTTATCTTTCATACTATTCATGTCATAGTATAGGAAAGCCGTCATAAAGAAGTAAAGCTTTAGAGCAATCTGGATTACTCAGAAATTTTGTTCGAAAAAAACAGAAAGCCTGCGGCCAACTGTAAAGATGCAAAATCTGGAATGGATATGCAATAATGCTTCACTCAAGGCGTGTAGAATGGATTCACTGGCTTACCTCAAATCATCAGAAAAAGTTTGAACTTCTTGAATTACTGTATTGTCGGCAGATAGTAAAAACATACCAGGACCATCTGTGCTCGGATGGCGTAGCTCTATAATATCTAAGTTCTCATCGAAATTTAACCCTGCTTCTGCAACATGAAAGAAAAAATATCAAAAAATAACTACCCCTTTCATGAACATGTTTGAAAACCTTACTTAATAATAATGATGCGAAGAAAAGGATTTCACTCTTACTTCAAAGAAAGCAACTCAATATCATCCGTAACAGAAACTCAAACTGGTCGGTTCGGAGAAGGCTCCAAAGTTGTAGCTTCTTTTTTTGCACCCTAATATGCCTTAAAGGCGACTGTCACCTAAAAAGGGATGTTGAACTTCAGTTAAATCAATCACATACACAAGTAAATAGACTAAACAAATGTTCCGGAAAATAACAGCTCATTACTCTCTTCAGCCACAAATTGCTAAAGAGATACTAGAAGGTACCATGCAAATTCTGACCAATGTATACTAATATACAGTGAAATTCATGCTGAGAAACAATATATTGCCATTGTGAAAACACTGCTGTGACCCTAGCATACACAACTTTGGATATAGTTTTAGTTGACTTATAACGCCTTGTCTCAACGGGACGTTTCACAGGATTTTTCCCAAGTACGAATCGCAGGAATGAAACTTCTGGGATTTTTTCCCAATAAAAAACACAACAAAATTTCTTCTTCTTCTTTAGAAGTCATCCCTGGGACTCTACAAGGACTCTTAGTTGGTACTGTGATCAGTAGTGACTGACTCAATATTTTTCCCAACTTCGCAAGTGAGATTTTTCCCTGGGACAAATCCCATGAAACGTCCCGTGGAGACAAGGCCTAACCATGGCTGGACATATGTGTTTACCACCCCAAAGCCGCCAAGGTTTCGCCGCCTTGCTGTCACGAGAGAAGAGCGGGTAAAAATAGTCAAGTTATAGAAAATTGAAAGGGGGAAGGGGGGAGGGAGTTGGGATTTAGTGCTTATCAAATAAATGTGTACCAAGGCATTCTACGAAAAAAAAAAATGTTTTCGGGTGCCATTTCTATGATTTGCGTAAGAAAAAACCGCATAATTGAAGCTATTTCCAGCAACACGGTGTGTGCAATGGCGCTGTATCTTTCTCCTCTTGGCACAATTAATTGCCACCCTGAGCTGCGGCCTAAATGACCTATGGCCCTATGCCTAATTCCGGCCGTGCTCATAACCCTGATAGTCATCAAGAAGGTTAACTTACTGTGGAGAAGAAATATCCGCGAAGTTCCATTCGTTTCAGTAATGCCTTCAGCCTTATCACTGGTGCTCTTTCCTGGCGATACTTCATTCTCTTCCTGAGGAGTTCTGGTTGATTCAGTGTCGTCATCACCCATCTCACCAGTGCTAGGTCCAGGTGATAATTCTTCCTCTGACATGATGATATTTCCTTCCTTAATAACTATTGTTTTATCGTAACTTGACAATTTTCTTTGTAACAAACTTCAAGCATGGATTGTCATGGGATGCATGTGAGGCTAAAAGCTATCTGCATTGAGATGAGAGTTCTACACAGAGAAACAACTGAATTTCATCCTAAAAATGGTTCCGATACGGGAAAAAGCTGCTTCAATTCAGAAAGCGGGAGAAACATAGCCGTAGAACTTCCAAAAATTTAAAAGTGAATTTATTAATTCCGGTTGATCCGGCGGGAGAACGAAACACGTAAACACGACTCAACTTTGACCCGTGTGAATCTATCAGCATGCCATCAGCACGGCTACCAACTAAGCACATAGGACACGATGAACATCGCGGAAGATGCCGCGCGCCGTCTCATAGTTCCTACCACCGCCACGGCGGCGCTCCGGCTGTATCGTCTCAACGCAGCCGCCCTTAGGATTCAGAAGGAGGAGAATGAAACGGAGGGGAGCTGCAAAGAACGAATGGAGANGATAGATTCAGCGCGGTCCAAAAATCGAGTGTGATTTCTGATGAGTTTTCGCGGTCCCAACTCCCAACATAACCCCTTCTGGCTGGCATAATTAGAAAAATATTTTATTCAAGTTCAATACTTATAAATTGAAGGAAAGTGCTTAATTTTGTCATAGTTTTTCCTAAATTTTGAAGTTTGAGCTTCAGTGTACGTCGGTATAGGTATTTTGGGATTTGTTTTGAAGTTTTCAACCCTATGACTCAACTTCTTCTCAGCCTATGCGAAACTCCACCAGAATTTATACAGTTGGGTTCTTACAGTGAGCTATCGCACACCTGCGCGTCTGTATTGTCTTTTTATTTGCCATTATATCTTCTTTAGATATTTTTAAATATTCTCATCATGAGCATCTTCCCCATCAGTGATCCTCCGATGCCGGAGGAGGCTCGCAATCTGGCTTTTCGGAATGCTGCCTGTCGATTGTGTGACAAGCCTGCCAGTCCTAAAAAACGATTCCTGTTCAAAGAATGGAGGGACAAAAAAGTGAATACCCTAATCGAGAATGTCATAGGAATCAAGGTATGTTAAATTTACTAAAATTATTTTGCTTACGACCAACTGAAACTGGCTGCACTTACTTAGTTGTGAGTTATTGGCGTCAGTGCAGGATGTGAACCATTTTCCATTTCGCACTCTTCATCATATTTCATGGCTTTTCTACTTATCCATGGAACTTGTGTAATGTAGTGCATCAGGATCTTTACGTCTCGAAGTGGTTCGACTGAGGTTAGGATCGCACATATCAATGGCTTGCAACCCATCTTGTGAGAAGAACCCTAGCAATTCACTGAAACGCGAGGAACGGGCTGGACCATGTCAGTGAACTGGGATATGAAAGTGAGGTGTTTCATCACGTTCCATGGCAATCCTCTGGTTTTGGATAAGAAAAGCCCCTATGGTATAGCGCATCAACCGCAGATTGTTGAGCTTCTATCAGAAACTCAGTGGTAGCAGTAAAATCTCTTATTAATCTGATTCTAAACTCTACCTGCTTCGTCATTCACTTGGATTTAAAGCACTGGGGAAAATTTTTTTGAAGTTTTAATTTGCTGCATTTAATGCTCAAAATTGTTTAAATGGAAACTCCAATTGAAAAATTCTTTCACAACTCACTAAAATCTGTGTTATGGACAACTTACCCTTTTCTACTAACATCTTTGATCTGAATGGTCACCTATCGGCGGCCAAAGTAGGAAACCACACATCTCCCTTTCTGACCTAGCAGACTTCCTGTCATACCTACTTTATTTTTCTTTGGGAAGCTACTCAATGTATAATTTCTTGGAATCTCTTTTGATTTATCTTCTCTGTTAGCAGAATAATCTGTATAAATTTCAAGCTATAAAGTTGGCTTGTTTTTTTTAAAGAATTAAAATAGGAGCAGAAATTTCGAAACACCGTATGGAGGTACGTCGTTTCGCTCTTTGACCATCGATATTCACTTAGGTAAGACAGACGGAGGAGTGATCACACAATTTGTCCGTAGTAAGATGACAAATGTCTTAGACCTATGCTTCTGTCCTCAGATTTTCTACACTTCAGTGCTCAATTCCACGTAGATGATGGATGCCCTTATTTTAATTAAGATCAACTCAAGATGAAATAACAAAAATTTCGTATAACTTTTAGTGAAGTCGCTCGTGCATTTAGGTATATCATTGTAATTGAACTCTCATTTGTACTACTTACATATTCTCTTTTCTATTTTAGATGAAGTATCATCCAAATTTGTCGAACTCAATTTGCGAAACTTGCTATGAAAAACTATCTTCTTTCGATGGATTTGTGAAGTGTGTCATAGCCAATCAAGTTCTATTCTCCCAGAATTTACATCAGGTCATTTACGAAGTTGTTCCTATCAATCGAATGAAACCTGTAATCAGTGTAAGTACTTGATCATTATTTAGTGCAGATTATGAAGTTTTATGTTGTGAAGTTTATCAATGAACTATCTACTATCTATCCTAAGTTCAGTGAGGCGAGCTTTCACAGCTGAGGAGCCTTTCCCTTGTCCCCTTAGCAATCTATTGTGTTATTAAAATAATCATGGATTTCACAGAAGGATTTGACTCGGATTTTAGCAGCGCATCAAGCTGGTTTTTTGTGGAACTAACACTGAAGATTTACCTCAAGAGAACAGGATGGATAAGCAGGCAAAATTTTGTAACTGAGATGTCAAACAGAGTGTACAAATCATGTCAATTGTATTTATGTCTTCGAACTCAGTGATCGTGAATACCTATTCACATCTTTTCTTAGGAATTGATTTCCAAATATTCTATTGGGTGAGTCATTTTATTCGGAAATTTTGAAGAGAAAATACAGAATGAAGTTCTTTAGTTCATACCGTTGCCTATGAGAATGGAGAAGCCGTAACAACGTTTCCATGAGGTCATGCTAGTAGATGAAACTCGGCCGCGGTATAACATGTGTTCTTATGGGAGAACGCCTGACATGTGTTCCTCATGCCGATATCCTCTCAGGGGTTGATCTGATGCAAAAATTCATCAGGACCGTTCAGAAAGAAGATGAAATTTCACCCCAGAAAAGTAACAAATCTTTTAATGACTTTGTCTGATATTTGAGGAAATGAAAGCGTAATACCGATAATCGTTACTCAGCTCAGATTCAAATGTGCCGCTCACGCACTTTGACTGACTGAGGGCCACTCTGATTGGCCCGCGCGGCGACTGCCTTATTCATCGATGTATCAATGACCCAAATATACTTGTTGTTTTCAGTAAATGTCTACTAGCGTGACGTCACAAAACTGACTAGTTACGGCCTCTCTATTCTCATAGGCAACGTTCAAACCTAGTCTAGTGCGTTTTTACTATTTTTCTTATCTTTTTCTGTCTCTCTTTGTCTTGTAAATATTTTCAACATCTTTATGTGCTCTGTTTAGCAGGCAAGTAAAAAAACTGGACGCAAACCAAAACATGAACTAGATATAATTGAATCTTATATTGAGAATCTTAAGCGGTCAAAGGTATGTACAACCTCAATAAAGTAGTAGGTATATTTTCAAGTTTTAATGGAGTCCTTTTTAAAAAGATTAATTCAAGGGAAATCTTACTCTATAGTATAAAATCACAAGGGTGCTGTGTCATGCTGAGGGTGTAACGCTAATCATGTCTCAAACCGGTTTCTCCTTCACTCCCCACTCCCCTCCCGCCGCGCATGCTCACACGCTTCCCGCTGTCTCCAAACCGGGTTTCCCTATCTCTCAATGATCTTTTAAGGATCTCACGATATCTGCATATTAGAGGCGTGGCGCTTCCGGGGGATGGACCGTGGAGTGGCCAGGGGGCGCAGCCCCCTAGTATTCATATAATTTTCCTGGAAAGATAGATACCCAGATAGCAAAAATGAAGAAATAAATTTTGCGGTAGATCACATCCACTCACTAAGTGGACTGAGTTCAGCAAACATGTACTAAGTTGCATATTAGAAAAAATGAGTTAAGGTTTTTTTTGGTATATGTTATTTATTAACCAGTAAGGTTAAGTTTTGAATTCAAGTCTTCATAAATTTTCTCCTGCAAAAAAATTCAAAGTTGATAAAAAATATACTGACCGTGAGAAAAGTCATTAAACTTTGTGCTCAACACAGAGCCTGATGAAGAAATAAAACTTCAAACCTGTTACGAACCTGCTTCAAACTTGATGCAACCTGGTACAAATGCATCAGGAATGGAGTTAACATAAATTGTTAATTCAATTTAGTTATTATAAATTGTCAACTCAATTCTGTTAACATAAATTGTTAGCTCTGTTCAGTTAACTCTACTTAGGCACTAAACTAATCAATTATGAATACAAAGGTTCAAAAACTTACTCGTCCTGTACTGCTTGTTACATTTTCAAGATAAAACTATGAGATGTTGCGATGGAGATCTATGTTTCTGTAATTTCATGTTTAAAGTTCAGTCAGTTATTCTAAAAACAAGAAGCCTAAAGAGTGTGCAGTAAAACAGGAGTTCACCAGGCTAATCTCTAGGAAGTCCTTGTAATGTGAAGTTCCTACAATCCGACCCTTTCAAACTTTCATAGCTCTTTTTTAATATGAACATTCATTTTCGACAGCTCAATAAATTAATGTTTTGATAACTTCATTCTTCAGCACACCTCTGAGCATAGCTATCTACCATTGTCTGAAAAATGGACTGTATTTTGCAAAAGGAAGTACAATTTCTGGCTCAGTTTAGAAACAACGGATGTACCACAGTTTCCATAGTTCCCTTATGCTTTTAAGTGCTTTCATTGATGCACTAGAAATTATAGTTCGGAATTGCAAAATAAAGTCCAAATGTCCTCTTTCAGTGGAATGAAATTTTAGTTGGATAGTAGCTACAGGGCAATACCTAAAATACAGAACACTAAATTTAGGATTTTTCGACTCCCTCTCACAATGCTTCCAAGAAGCAACTCCCCAGCCTTTAATACTTAAAAACAAAATTGCAGAACCGTCTCCCCGACTCCCTCCCATCTCCAGTAGAATATTATGTATTTTATAAATGGCAGTGGAGCGGTCACTTGATTATTCAAATTAATGGAACCAAATAACTGTCTCTTAATTTGTCATAATGTCCAATAATTTTCATATTTCAGAAACAGAAGAGAGCAAATTCGGAATTCGGATTCCTCCGTGTTAAACCTCCAGAGGAACTTCAGGCAAATCATAAACTCAAAGTTATATCAACACATAAGCCATCCTTTTCGTCAGTTACTTTTGAAAGAGTCCCTCCGGCTCCAAGTATTGAGAGCGTCTACATTAAAGAAGAGCCTCAAGCGGTTGAAGACGGCATTTTTCCAGACTCTCCTCCTCCTGCAAGTAGAGCCAGTTCGTCCCCGCAGCCTCAGGCCCAGTCTCTTTGGTGTGAAATTTCAGCCGTAAGATCATGTTCCAGTCAAAGCGGAAGAACTTCTCAACCAAGGTAATAATACTTTCCAAATGTATTTTCCTACTTTCCTAGTTTATTAATAAGGATTTCCACACACACTTTACAGAAAAGAAGAGTAGGTGGTTGCAATTCATGATTTATTTGGACAAATTGCGTGGATATTCCAGCAAAATCCGAATTTCAAAGTATGAAAAACAGACCCGAGATGGTCCGTTATTTGCTGATTGTCATTTCAACTCAAAACATAATTTTAAACACTTTATATAGAATGAATTTATAAACTACACCATTTTTAAACAAAATTGATGACAAACATCTTTTTTTAGCTAATTCTATCAACGCCATCATGCTAAAGATTGATCCTAATTGCTGCCCTATTTGATGCTTTCAGTAGTGCAATAACTCCTGAAGAGCTGAAATGCTTTGAAAATTTAAGGGGTGCATAATCCTCTGAAAAACTTGTGCGGTCTTACTTGCATGATAAAATGAAAACAGCTTGCGAATGCCTCAAAATTAGAATTTCCTGGAAACCATTGTGAAATTTGCATTAAGTTTGCAAAAGCATGGCAATTTGCTAATAACAGACAAATAAAGGCTCTAGCTTTGAAAATCCTTGAGAAAAAAGGGTTTTTGAATTGAGGAAGCTGAGAACTTTCTGCATCCTACAGAAATGTTATTGCATCTCAACGGAACTCCATAAAATGTGCTCAATTACGCTTTTAGAACTTGGAAATGATACAATTTATTCAATTTTTGTGTGTCTTAGCAGCAAAGAAAATCATCAAAATAATCACGAAGATTCAAGCGACTCCGACGTTATGATCTTAGATGATGAGGTACCTTCAAAGAAACCAAGACTATCGAGGACGGGAGGCAGCATTAATTGTAAAGCTCCAGAGAAGCACTCCGTAACCCTGGTAATGTGCTGCTCCAATTCGTCCATCTTCATCCTCTTTACTTAAAACAAAGATAATAGATAGAATATGCCTTTGGAATTCTTGATCTCGTCACAAAATTTAGGTGGTTAATTCAATTTTCCAAACAATATAAAAAAAAGGGAAATGGACATTTTTTAGATTTCAAAATTTTCAGTATTTTCTCTTCATTCTGACACCAATGATATTTTCTACAAAATTTTGCTCTTAAGAAAGCAAAATTGGCTGTTCTTAGGTATAATCATGAACAGGATTGACTATGCATCGTACGTTCTGCAGGCAAATAATCAATTCATTTTGTCAAATGCCTGAGTAAAGTGTCAAACATTCTCACCCAATGTGGATGAAGATGGATATTTCTAAATCGTAAACTTTAAACCAAATGGCTACCCCTAAATGTCGATTATATAAAATCTAAGTTCATTCACTTTTCACAAAGTACGAAGTGTCGAAAGTTGTAAAAAGTGGGTGAACTTAGAGTTTGTGCAATAAGTGACTGGGTGTACCCATTATTTTCACTCACAATCAGATTGAATTTCAGATTATTCCGCTAATTTTGTACAAAATAATCATTTATCCTTATAGATAGGAACTATTTTTAAAAATTTGCATCGTTCTGAGGTTGCTGTACTTAAGAATGCTGCTGTGTTAGGAATTTCCAGCTCAAAAATGAACCTTCATTTTAAAAGATACAGCATTTCTTGAAATACTATTTTTATTTATGATGGTTAAAGCTGTAAGCTTTTGAAAATAAAAATACAATTGATAAATTCTTAACTTTCAAAGTAATGAAAACTTGAGAGCTCTTTGTAAAAAGTGTTGAAACTTTGCAAACTGTTAAAATCTGCCAAGGCATTTGATGTTTTGACAAATATATGTTTTGACTACATATTTGCCCGCTACATATATTTTCAGAGAGGTAACACTGTCAGGATTCAGAAAATGCATTATTTATGATGAAGGTATAAGCCGTTAAGCCGTTTAACCTAAACTTACTGTGCAATTTCTTTCTTTTTTTTTCTTAGTATTGGGAATACATATTACTCCTCAAGAACAGTTTTTCTTCTGATGAATTAAATGTTTCCAAAATGAAGAAAGGTAAACCTCAAATCTAGCATAGTCAAAGGAGGTTTTATGTGTATTAAGCAAAGCCACATGTTTAATTAGGAGTCTGTGCTTTCATCCATTAAATCTTTACATTATTTTCATTTTCAGGAACCAATTGTAGGTCCATGCCGAATGGACTTAGACATATCAGTCAAACAGGAAAAACTAGATGATCCAATCGATGATCCGTCTTTAGTGACTCTCCCAGATCCAGTTGACTCAGTAATTTTGCCAGATCCAGTGACCTCCGTAACTTTGCCAGATCCAGTCATGTCTGAAACTGTGCCAGAACCACTTACAGTCATAAATCTCCCGATTACAATCAAACAAGAGGTAGATCTTGAGAATGGAGCTCCCTCAAATATTTCACCTCCCAGTGTAGCACCTGTAAAATTACCTCCAAGTGTAGCACCTGAACACCGAACCCAATTTAGACCAATTCGTCCAAAACTGAGTCCGGTAAGATCAGAATCGGAAAATCCGCCACCAAAACCAATGAAGAGGAGACTTTATAAGCCTGCCACAAAAATAGGGAAGAAGAAAGCCCCAAGCAGCGTCGAGTACAATGATGACATCAGTTGTTTACCGTGCTATCGATGCAAAAAGGAAAATGAGTCGTACTTGAATTTGTTGTACCACCACATTAACTATTGTTCTACTGAAGGTAAGGAAAACTTTAAGTTCGCACAAGAACTTCCAAAACTAGACACGAGTTTGAATTGCAATTTGCTAAATTGTCACAAAGTAAACTTTTAATTTTACTGCCCACATGTAAACGTAAAAGGTAAAAAGTGAAAAATTTACCCCAAAAATTTTGCAGAAACACGCTGAGGCACTGTAGAATTCTTCTTATTTCTTTGAAGATTTCCATCTATTTTCCAGATTTTTAGTATAGAATGGTATTACAAATTATTTCTCTGGTGGTAAGGTGGTGGAGGGGCGGTTGGTGTCAGTCACCGAGCCTGGACCTTAACATTTGAACCAGAGCCGGAGATGGGATGGGGGAGGGGGGCCGCGCTTGTCAGCAATTTTCATTTTGTGTCCCATGCAAAATTTTGAAGATAAAAGGAATATCAGGGTGCTTAAATTCGTGCCTTGTCCAGTTAGCCACTGGACAGATTTAACTGGAATTAGCCTAGCTACATCAGATGTTGTCCAATTTTCTCCTGTGTTTTATTTTTTTGACAGAAAAGTGACATCATGCTGACTTGAAAGTTTGCAAGTAGACTTGTTTTAAGCCAAAATGAAATCAGTGGTGTGGCGTGCTTTGCAATACAGTGTTCGATCTGTCATTTCAGCCTGTGTAAAAAGATCGATTGACAGGGTGTTCGCAATGAACACTTTAATAATCGATCCTTTACCATAGCTTCAAATGGGGAAATATCGATACTCAATCACTCATGCCTCACCACTGAATGAAATGTAAACTTAGAAGGTGTTAAGTTGTTTGGTTTTCTGTAAAAAAAAAAAAAAAAAATAAACTGAAGAGGAAATTAGACAACATGAAATGGAATTGAATTCAACTCGTCAGGAGAATAGTTTTTGTCAAGTTCAGTTTAAAAACAGAATCGGAGTTTATCCCCGATAACTTTCTTCTCATAGAATAAGCTGCATATGGTGTAGTGATCTTTTTTGCCAACAGAGTCCTCAAAAGTGCTTGAGGAGTGCACGACTGATTATCCTTCAGGCTGCTCGAACCGTGCTATCATCATCCTTTGGCCCCAATCAAGCTTGGACGCCATGTTGCCGGATATCTCATTATCGTTTTAATTTTTTCTTTAATGCTCTCGCACCTACTTTTATGAAAACTTCGGGGATTTATTTTGACGACTGAAAAAATAGCAGTTACAATTTTCAAGGGATTCTGTTCAGTTTTGAAAGAAGTTTCGGACAATGAAAAAACAATCTGAAAATTTTTTCCCCCAAAAACTCAGACAAATTTGAGAAGTTCGGCAACTCGGTGCTTAAGCCCAAAGGGGCTTGTTATACTTTAGCCAGAAGATGACAATTAATCAAATCTCTCCTGCTTTTTTTGCCATTCTGTACTCTCAGCCACGGTGCTTGATTAATTTCTTTGTATCAAGTGATCATATTTTAATTCAAAGTTATTTTTTCAGTTTCGGAAGAGGATCCAGTACCTCCACTGCAGTTAATTCCTGAAGCCCTGAAGGAGCAGTGCGCCATGATTCAGACTGATGAAGAGACGCTCTTAAGAAAAATTTACCTGGAAATGAACGAGTGCATGAAGAATTTCCCGACTCTTCGAGACTACTACAAGAAGATGATAAACCTGACCAGACCTGTTGTTGTATCTTACTGCAAGAAGTATAATATTAAATTGGACATTGAAGAGGAAAAATCTAACTGACCAAAAACTGGTCAGAAAAAGTACCCAAAAAAAGTTTCTCTCTCCAGCGCAACTTCTGATGCAGATGGAGGGAAAAACTGTGAAGTTTATAGCTAGGACAAAGAATCAAATGAAAGAATAAGTCCTGAGGACAAGTGGTAGGGATTTGCAGGGTGCCCACAAGTCCGGAATTTCCGAAAGTTCGGAAATAGTACTGATTTTTTAAGGGCGATCCGGAAGTACTGAAAAAGTGCGGAAATTCCGTTAAAAGGTCCGGAATTTTTCATTTTTTTCGCAGTTTGGGAGAGAAATTCAAATTTTTGAAATTTTTCGAATTTCGTCAAATGGAGGTACTGAAAAAGTGCTGAATTTCTCTGTTGAAGAGGTACTGAATTTCTCGGGAATGTACTGAAAAAGTACTGATTTTTGGCCAACCTGTATTAGTAGACACCCTGATTTGAAACTGCTCTGAATAAGGAGTCTTTTAACACTTATTGTAGATATGAAGTCATCGCAAGACAAGACAAAAAAGGAGAGAAAACTCCCCTGATGTCGCAAGAACTCTTTGATAATATAATAGTAAATATGACATCCATGACTTGGGTCATTTTAATTTAACGCAGGCGGAAAATTAGATTTCCTGAAATGACGATGGCAGGTTTTTTTTCTTCGGGAAGTCAAAATAGGCAAACAAGTTCCTCCAATCAATCCGCAGCGGTGCCAATGAAATTTTGAGGGAAGGTTACATGGAACATATTTAATCCTGTTCCTAAATTGTGTTATTTTCCTTTATCTTCATTGTCTCACTCTTCATTGCCTCACGCTTTTCCTTGAATCTATTGATTTTTGGGTGTCATATTATTGCTATTTGTATGTATATGCTTGGGTTCCTCAGTAAAGTAAGGCTGCAGGCTGATTATTGAAATTGATAGACAAAGAAGAAAACGAGAAAATGGAGAAAGTCTTTCGGTGAAAGTGGGCGGATGCAATGGACAAAGGAGGTAAGTAATAGACTAACTAATGGCAACCCACGAGGAACCCTATTCCCCTTGTTATTCCCCCACTATTTTCCCTGTTGGTTTATTACAACCACCCGTTTCAATCAGTAAGATCACTCCATTATCCCTTTGTCCTCTTCTGTTGCATAGTTTATTAATTTCAATGATCGGCCTGCTAGCGGAGAGATGGTAATTTCCGTTTGTCATAAATTTGTAATTTGCTGCTTGTTTCTTCTTGATGAGTGAAAAATAAGATTCATTTGCCCCCCATATCGGTACATCCAACATGTATGGATTATTACATCTTGTTATTTCTCGCTCAACTGTATGGAGCAACCTTTCGGACGCAACTCTGTGACATGTACAACTGACTGACTCTGGTTTTGAAAGAGCCTTGTTAAAAATGGGTCGAAATTCGCCCCTTTTTAGGCCCTCGATTTTGCAAACGGGAATTGAGCCAAATTGTTGCATATGATGCCCTAAGTCTCTGGTAAAAATTTCAGCTTGAGTTGAAAAGTGGTTTCGGAGATACGGGGGGGTGAAGTGGGGGAGTTGAGCGGCTGGCGTGCGCTATTTCCGCGGCTGTTCCTCGCCAAATCTTCGTTTTGATGTCACCCGTTACATGTTTTTCTATGTAATTTTTTGCGAAATTTCCATTTCTGGCCTTAAAAATTACTTAGAACCATTATTCAAGGCGCTAGGGGGTGAAAATAGGGGTTGAACGGCCAGCGGCGCGCTCTTTCTTGACTGTTCCTCGCCAAATCTTCGTTTTGATGTCACCCATCACATGTTTTCCGACGTAACTTTTCGCGTATTTTCCGTTTCGGACCTTAAAAATTACTTACAACCACTTTTTAAGGCGCTAGGGGGTGAACGTGGGGGTTGAGCGGTTGGCGGCGCGCTCTTTCCGCAGTTGTTCCTCACCAAATCTTCGTTTCGATGTCATCCATTACATGTTTTCCTATGTAATTTTTCGCGTACTTTCCATTTCTGGCCTTAAAAATTACTTAAAACCACTTTTCTGGGGGCCATGAATTTTTTTCGTATTTTTTTCGCATTTTTTTTTTTTTTTTTTTTTTTTTTTTTTTTTTTTTTTTTTTTGAGTTTTTTTAATTGATGTTGTATTATTCCCTAAGATCTATTCGTGCCGTATATTTTCACGTTTTCTCAGTGCACCTCACACGTCGTACGAGAATATACGCGTGATTTTATCCGAACATAAATGTTTACATGCCAAAATGACATGGCAAATATGGGTTAAAATCTGAGATATGCCCCGGGCAGTACATTAATCTGATTAATAAAAAATCTGTCCTTTACTTCGTTACTTATTTATTTAAAAGCAGCCAGTACCAGCCAACACGCCGTATTTGAGGATATTATGACCACAGATACATTTACACGTTCACGCTGAAAGACTGATCGTCACCCTAATTAAGTCAAGGGAAGTATGAAAAATTCAGAGCTATGGCAACTCATCGATTTAAAAATATGCTTCCCCCCCCCCCCTCATGAAAGCTTTAAGGCTTTACTTGATGATTCTGTCATTATTCTACCATCTCCCCACTACGAACGCTCGTCTTTGCATATCATCTAGGCAAGTAAACATTTATGTTCGGATGAAATCACGCGTATATTCTCGTGGGACGTGTGAGGTACACTGAGAAAACGTGAAAATATACGGCACGAATAGATCTTAGGGAATAATACAACATCAATTAAAAAAACTCAAAAAAAACTCCAAAAAAAAAAAAAAAAAAAAAAAAAAAAAAAAAAAAAAAAATAATAATACGAAAAAAATTCATGGCCCCCAGAAAAGTGGTTTTAAGTAATTTTTAAGGCCAGAAATGGAAAGTACGTGAAAAATTACATAGGAAAACATGTAATGGATGACATCGAAACGAAGATTTGGTGAGGAACAACCGCGGAAAGAGTGCGCCGCCAACCGCTCAACCCCCACGTTCACCCCCTAGCGCCTTAAAAAGTGGTTGTAAGTAATTTTTAAGGTCCGAAACGGAAAATACGCGAAAAGTTACGTCGGAAAACATGTGATGGGTGACATCAAAACGAAGATTTGGCGAGGAACAGTCAAGAAAGAGCGCGCCGCTGGCCGTTCAACCCCTATTTTCACCCCCTAGCGCCTTGAATAGTGGTTCTAAGTAATTTTTAAGGCCAGAAATGGAAATTTCGCAAAAAATTACATAGAAAAACATGTAACGGGTGACATCAAAACGAAGATTTGGCGAGGAACAGCCGCGGAAATAGCGCACGCCAGCCGCTCAACTCCCCCACTTCACCCCCCCTTATCTCCGAAACCACTTTTCAACTCAAGCTGAAATTTTTACCAGAGACTTAGGGCATCATATGTAACAATTTGGCGCAATTCCCGTTTGCAAAATCGAGGGCCTAAAAAGGGGCGAATTTCGACACATTTTTAACAAGGCTCTTTCTGACCTTCAAATAAATCGATTGAAAATCTTATATTTATGACTTTGCATAGCAGAAAACTAGTTACCTATTGTGACGAATCAAATGTGCGCATCATAAACTTGTGTTTTGCTGGTGAGACAACAATGATTTACTAGATAGAATACAATTCATATTAATGTCAATTTTCTACTTTCATCATTGTTGGAGTTACCTATTACTCTCTGAAAAATACATTAGGTGATGTCATCTACTTTGTAATTTGGAGGTTGATATTTCTTTCTATAATTAAAACAAAACTTAATAAAACTTTCACAATCCCCCCCTCCCCCCCCCAGTTTGTCACAGTAACAAGTTTTATCAAAGGAAAAAAAACCGGTAGCTTCTAAGAAGTTTTTAATTTTGATTTTATCATTATTCATAAGAATTAAAATGAATCAACTCACAAGTAACATTTTAAAAGAACCTGTATGCTGTTAAAATGATTATCTCAAACATTTGTGTTATATCACTTATTCCAGAATCCTACGAGAAATCAAAAGAGTATCTACTGGAATAAGTTATATTTTTCCGGGCAATTTTGCTGACGGACAGCAAGAAGGATGGTAGCATTTGATTTATCTATCGATTGATCACATATTGGAACTACCGAATGTAAAACTCCTTGGCTAATTTGTTTTCTCTATAAATTTGTTCATCGTTTTATGAAATTATCTCTGTTTATAAATTCCTTTATGTTTTGTTAAGAGCGCTTTTTGAGTGCCTTCATGTTATTGATCATATTAAAAAAAGTGATGGCATTTAACCTGTCAAACCGCCAAGACCTTGATTTCGTTTTGTGTTGAACCCACCATGTGAAGTTCTTTTTTTATTTTTAAATTTATCTCTTTTTATCATCTGATTCTGTATCCAATTCTAGTAATGGTATATCTATCTTCTACAAGCACCTTTAGAAAGGATTCAGTCTCTGTGGTCGGTATTTTTTTTTATCTTGATTTTATTAAAAGCTTGATTTTTTTTTAAAATTTTATTCAAACAAATAACCATCAATGTTTTAAAAATCACCTGACACTACAAGAATCAAATACTTTTTAACTCTTCATTACTATCAATACCTACTTTTTGCAAATTCTACTTTTATTTTATCAGTTTTATCATTGTTCTCATCGTATCTCTTTGAAAATAAGTTTATATTATATTTTCTGCCTTTTTTATTTAATCACTTTAGATTTGTCAAGTTAGAACTGTTACTGTTACCAGCCTCTTATCCTCTTAAGTTAATCACGATGTGTAATTATAGTTTAAGTCCATTGTAATATTTTCAATTATTCATTTCTATTTTGTTTCGGCCCAAAAAGGAGCCTCATTTGTCAAGGGTCTTCTCCTATTTTCCTGCACCGATTTTGTATCCTGTACATTTTTACAATTATAATGACAAAAAATCATTTCAGTTGTTTTTTTTTTAAAAAAAATTGTTATCACATGTCCTCTGAACGTTAGGTTTTCACCCCATGACGTTAAATTTTTATTTTATTTTAGGGGTTTGGAGGATGAGACGCATAAGTGCAGTTTTTGCTGTTCCCAAAAATGTAGGTTCAGAGTTTCAAAATCACATGGAACTTTATGTTTATGAAAGTTTGAACTCATATTTTGATGCTTAAAAATTGGATTTTAGTAGTGAATTATTATCAGAGTATAATTTAAGAT